CCTATCTACCACCAGAATCCAGAATGTGGCCCCCAAATACTTTCATATATAAATCTTTCTTAAAAGTGAATTCCTGATAAACAGATATACACATACACAGCAATAAGAGTTTGCATACCAAGACTGTTCAATGGAGAAAAAACAGTCTCTTCAACAAATGGTGCTGGAGGCCCGGCGTGGTGGCTCACGCCTGTCATCCTAGCACTCTGGGAGGCTGAGGCGGGCGGGCGGATTGCTCAAGGTCAGGAGTTCGAACCACCCTGAGCAAGAGCGAGACCCTGTCTGCAACCAATGTTTCCTTTGCCAATCCATACACCTCCACCTCAGCCAGGAAATGGTGTCCCCAGGTCAACAGTCCCCTCTCAATGCCTAAAGACTCTCTGGCTCACGGCCTAGAAGAAGTTTTTTGGATGTTTCTCTCTTTTGAGAGAAGTTTTTTGGATGTTTCTCCGCTTTTGGGCCTGAATGGCCAGCACTTCCTGGGAGCTCATTCCGACACCCAAAGCCGAGCCTAGCCGGGCTGCAGCCTCCACTCGCTCAGCCAGGCGGGAGGAGGTCAATTGTTTTTAATATTTAGCTCCCACATATGAGTGAGAACATGCAAGATTTGTCTTTCTGTGCTTGGCTTATTTCACTTAACATAATGTTCTCCAGTTCCATCCATGTTGTTGCAAATGGCAGGATTTCATTCTTTTTTGGCTATACAATATTCCATTGTGTACATGTACCATAATTTCTGTAGCCATTTTCCATTGATGGACACTTAGGTTGATTACAAATCTTGGCTATTGTGAATCGTGCTGCAATAAACATGGGAGTGCAGATACCTTTTCAATATACTGAATTCCCTTCTTTTGGATATATACCTAGAAGTGGGATTGCTGGGTCACATGGTAGTTCTGATTTTAGTTTTCAGAGGACTCTCCGTACTGTACGCCAAAGTGGTTACACCAATTTACATTCCTACCAACGGTGTACAGGGCTTCCCTTTCTCCACATCCTTGCCAGTACTCGGTACTACTTGTCTTTTTTTTTTTTTTTTTGAGACTAGGCAGCTCATTCGGTTCACCGCAGGCGCTGAGGAGTGTGATCATAGCTCACTGCAGCATCCAACTCCCGGGCTCAAGTGATCCTCCCACCTCAGCCTCCTGAGTAGTTGGGAATACAGGCACGCACCACCACACCCAGCCTTGCCTGTCTTTTTGATAAAAACTATTTTAACTGAGGTTGAGATGATAGCTCATTCTAACTTTGATTTGCATTTCTCTGATGACCAATGATATAGAGCATTTTTTCATATACCCTTTGGCCATTTCTGTGCGTTTTGAGAAATGTCTGCTCAGATCCTTTGCCTATTTTTAATCAGCTTATCTGAATTTTTTCCTATTGAGTTGTTGGAGCTCCTTATATATTCTAGCTATTAATCCCTTGTCATATGAGTAGTTTGCAAATATTTTCTCCCATTCTGTGAGTTGTCTCTTCACTTTGTTTCCTTTGCTGTGCAGAGCGTTTTAGCTTGATGTGATCTCATTTGTCCAATTTTGCTTTGGTTGCCTGTGCTTTAAGGGTATTACTCAAGAAATTCTTGCCCAGACCAATATCTTGAAGCATTTCCCCAATGTTTTTCTTTAGTAGTTTCATAGTTTCACGTCTCAGGTTTAAGTCTTTAATCCATCTTATTTTATTTTTGTATATGGCAAGAGATAAGGATCTAGTTTCATTCTTCTACATATCGACGTTCAATCTTTGGCTGGCTCTTTTGCAGCTTCTGTGCTTGCTCCATTTTCATCTTTAAGCCAGACTGGATGCATTAAATTCAAATCCAGACCACAATGGCTATTATAGATTTTACTGAATGCTTTGAAGGAAGATAAAGAGAGTGTCACATCATACCTTGCGCTGTAAAATTTCCTTAAAATGCTTTAAACATTTCTCTTTTCCCCCAAAGTCCCCTTCTGGCAACTGCCTCATTTCTTCTTTCCTGCACAACCACTGTCACTCCAGCTGGTCATTTAACCTTAATTACCTCCCTAGAGGTCCCATCTCCAAATACATGCACACTGTGGGTTAAGGCTTCAACCTCTGAAAGCAGGGGGACACAGTTCAGCTCATAACTTCTACCAAACACCAGCAGCTCAGTTAAATATCAGCAAAACAGAGGATTTGTTTAGAATAAAGAAAGACCTCGTTATAGGCTATAATATTAAAGATTTAAGGAAAGAGACATCTGTGTCACACATATGTACAGAATTATATAACTTCTTAATAAAGGCTTTCTAATTTCCCTTGAGAAATTGAAAATTCTAAATATACATTCAGAATAACATTAGAATTGAAAATGGCCATTTCCTCTCAAGAAATTATTCCTTGAGATTTGATATTTTTTTCTTAGTGATAAATGTGAATCAGTTTAAAATGTTTCTCAAGGCCAAGGCAGACAGATTGTTTGAGCTCAGGAGCTCGAGACCAGCCTGAGCAAGAATGAGACCCCCATCTTTACTATAAATAGAAAGAAATTAGCCAAACAACTAAAAATAGAAAAAATTAGCTGGGCACGGTGCATGTGCCGTAGTCTCAGCTACCTGGGAGGCTGAGGCAGGAGGATTGCTTGAGCCCAGGAGTTTGAGGTTGCTGTGAGTTAGGCTGACACCACAGCACTCACTCTAGCCCAGGCAACAGAGTAAGACTCTGTCTCAAAAAAAAAAAAAAAAATTGTTTCTCAAAAGCTGTTTTTATACTCTAATTTGTTCTAATACGTTTTTATGTCAATTAACAAAAATTTCATTATTGCTATTATTATAAGTTACTTGGTTTTACTAAAACTAGCTTTCTTTGTTATAAATTAATTTGGCTTAAGAGAAAAGTTTGTTTAAGCTGAATTATGACAGAGATATGTAATTCAATATTTTTATTTTTATTCAGGCAAATCTGATAGCTGGCCAATTTTTTAAAAATCTAGAATGTCATTTTTATTATTATTTCAGAAAATCAAATACTTTCTTCACTAATTCATACCAAATGGCAGCAATTGATGTTCTCATTTTTTTCCTTATCTAAAATTAGCTTATAATTTTACCCAAGTGGTGTTGTTGCCAAGCAGTTTCTTTTTCAAGAACACCTGACCATGCAGAGGTCTGCAACCCTGAGGACATATAATATGGATCTATCATGTTGCTTTGAAAGCTTGAAAGCCCAGATTTGACCATAACATTCAATATAAGGGTCTAGCATAGGACAAAGTTAATTGTGGAACAGTATATATTATTGAATGGAAGTGAACCAAAATTATATTCAAAGTGGGAATAAAAGGCCTAAAGTCAAAGTTCTTACACTGAACTGTCCAATGGTTTATATTGACCATTAGAAGAGACAGACCACATGCCATGCACATTAATACTGGAGTCCTGGAGAAACTAGCAAAAGAAACTAATAAGGCAATGTGGAAGGAAAAAGAGAAAAAAAGAGAAGAAATAAGGAAACAGTGTGCAGCTGTGAAATTTTTACATTGCTGTAGTCTGTTTTAAATGTTTTTATTTTAAAAATTAAGTATGCAGAGTACCAAAAACTATGAGGAGGAGGCGCAGCATTCTCTCTTGAGCGTGGAGCCAGCTCTTGGTGTTGCTTCGCTGCAACTGCCATTTGTCATTGATGATCGTGCTTTTCTCCCTTTTTGGGTAAGTAAGAGGGAGAGGATGCAGTCTGAGTGGTTCCTTTAAAAAAATATATACACATCTAATATTCCAAAATATATATATATATATAAATTAAGTATGCAATGAACATAAGAAAATAAAAAATTATAGTACGCATGGGATATTTGCCCAGGGATTTTTGTCCATGGGATATAATATGGCCAGGGATTACACACTGAAGGTTTAGTTTAAAAGAACAACCTAATCTAAATAAATAAATAGAAAGGCCAACATTGCTAATTCGTTACTACCCTATTTGTCTGCTTTCAATTAATGACTAAGTAACTTTTATGAAGGATCGTATTAAACCTGAGCTTCTACATTGCACAATAGGGTCATCCATCATGGCTGCTAGACTGGGAGAATTTGATCTTCAAATACCTAAGGCTGTGAGATAAACAAATTCCATACACTTGAACAGAGATTCCAGTTTCAAACTCTAAAATTCTTTCTATAAAATGCTTATGTCCCTTTTTCACTTTTGTGTTCTAATATTTCTACCATCTTCACTGTATATTTTTAAATTAATGTAGAAACTTGTTAAGTGCTTATTAGTTAACTTTGGTTGAGTTGGTATCCAAAATAGCAATTAGTATTAGTAAAGCTTCATTAGAATCGAGACCCATGTATGCAAGTAAATTATATTACCTTATAGAAAATCACCTTAACCAACCCATGATTCTGACAGGACAGCCAGCCTGTGGAAGTTGAAAACTCTTAAAACCTGACAAGAACAATCTGGAGGAAACATCTTAGACAAAATATTAATAGCTCTGTAAGGTGAAAATACTGTACTGTTGGCTTCCACCCTTACCCTCTAGTACTCATGCCAGAGAGATGATCCAATGTCTGTTGCTATACTGTCATTTTTTTTTAACTTTACAATGAAGTATGGAATTGATCAAAAAGAGAAACTTTTTCTGAGGAAATTTATAAGATTAAGTAATACATGTATAAAACATGGAACTGTTTGAAATATAAAAGTATATATAATGGGCCGGGCGCGGTGGCTCACGCCTGTAATCCTAGCACTCTGGGAGGCCGAGGCAGGAGGATCACTCAAGGTCAGGAGTTTGAAACCAGCCTGAGCTAGAGAGAGATGCCGTCTCTACTAAAAATAGAAAGAAATTAATTGACCAACTAAAAATATATATATAAAAAATTAGCCAGGCATGGTGCCAAGTGCCTGTAGTCCCAGCTACTCGGGAGGCTGAGGCAGAAGGATTGCTTGAGCCCAGGAGTTTGAGGTTGTTGTGAGCTAGGCTGATGCCATGGCACTCTAGCCTGGGCAACAGAGTGAGACTGTCTCAAAAAAGAAAAACAAACAAACAAACAAAAACCTGAATTATCAGAGCTTGGTAAGGATGTGTCATGGTCAGGAAGATACTGGGAAACACAGGTCTGACAAAGAGGGTAAGACCTACCGGCATGACATTGGAGTGGCCAAAAGCATTTGGGGATCCAACTAAGGGGAAGTTGAGCCAGGCATACATTTGGTTTGGGCTTAGTGGAACATAATTATGTGTGTTGCAGTCGCTTCTGTGTAGAGGTAAGTATTGCTAGCTGTCCAGGTGTAGAAATGGTTTCCATCAATATACCTATGGAAGGTATAGAAAAAGTGGCAGTCCATGACCCAAGAATTAAGAACTCTTGCCTAATTAACTTATTCTCCTGAAACGTCAAACTGAGTAAGATACAGCATTTCGTATGTACAGCCCTGCAGAGAACTAGAATAGGCCACCGCGCCTCCCTCCCCTTTTAATGTGAATTACACACAACAAAATGTATCAGAATCACTATTTATAGGATACAAACTTAGCAGTACTACATGAAATCTGTGAAGTCATATGTTACATTATGCTTTGCAAAGAACTGTATTCTATATTGTGTCTTAGCCTATCTGATGCATCTGATCTTGCTGAAGTCTGATGACATGTTATTCATTGGAAGAAGATTTAAATTTATCAATAAAGATAACATAAAACTCCTTATATACCACTAAGACAAGACATTGAGGACAAACTGGTCCATGACTGTGGCCAATTCAAAGAGAATTTAAGATTCATCACTAGGTAAGAAAACTTGAAATGCCTTTAAATCTTACAGCTCATATATGAAAAAATTTGATAGAAACTTTACCAAATTTGACAATAATCCTAAAAATATACAGAAATTATTATCAATGAATTATGAAACTAAAAGAAACTTTTCTGTTTCACATAAGGAGAATGTTGGAGAAAAATATAAGAAATGAAAAAGAAAAAAATATTCCAAATATAAAAATAAGAAAAAGAAGCTTTTCTAAACTATCAATAAAAAGAAATTTCAATCATACAAGACTAAATTATCTTTGTATGCTGCCTATAGAAAACCATATTACAAAACCATTGTCATATGAAGAGGTGATCAAAGATTATGTAGTCATAAAATATGAGAAATGGTATATTTTTTCTGGATTTTGTATTATTTATAATATTTATCAGTTTTTAAAAATGTAAAATTACTATTTCCTGGCCAGGCGCGGTGGCTCACGCCTGTAATCCTAGCACTCTGGGAGGCCGAGGCGGGCGGATTGCTCAAGGTCAGGAGTTCAAAACCAGCCTGAACAAGAGTCAGACCCCGTCTCTACTATAAATAAAAAGAAATTAATTGGCCAACTAATATATATAGAAAAAATTAGCCGGGCATGGTGGCGCATGCCTGTAGTCCCAGCTACTCGAGAGGCTGAGGCAGGAGGATTGCTTGAGCCCAGGAGATTGAGGTTGCTGTGAGCTAGGCTGATGCCATGGCACTCACTCTAGCCTGGGTAACAAAGCAAGACTCTGTCTCAAAAAAAAAACAATTACTATTTCCTCTTCTTTACTTTTGTACCTACAACAATAGCTGTGAGTCTCCTACCCTGATTCCCTTTAGAAAGCCAGTGCACCCATCTCCTAGCTGCTGCAGGTGTTGACTACCAAGGACCCACACCTGCACCCTCCTTAAGCCAATGGATTTCCTAGGCCTAGGGGAGCCACCTTGCCTGGAGATGCTTGGGAGGTCAGATCACCCCAATAAATGAACCATGCTGCTACCTAAAAGCTCTTGCCTCTTGGCAAGGTAATTCATATTCCAGAGCTCCCCCAGGAAATCAGGCTGAGGCTAGGTATCTTCTGAAGCCACGCCTTTGCCGAGCTTCTCCTATCTTATTCTGTGTCCTTTACTTCCCTACAATTTCCTCAGTACCTTCAATAAATCACTTGTGTAAGAATCCCCATCTCAGGCCTTGCTTCAAGGGAACCCCATTATCAGGGGTTCGTGACACCCCTGATATAACCAGGTCCCCAGGCAGTGTGCACTGCAAGAGAAGGGAGAGACAAAGACACAGACACAAAAAGTAAGGTGAAAGGGTGTGGGGAAGTCAGGGGACCACCAGCATTTGCGTGAGACAGGTGGTACTGACTGAAATCTAGCATCCGTTTTTATTCTCTTTTTCATGCTATAGATTACAATGATTGCGAGTGAAAAGCTCATGGGTTACAATGTGTAGAAGTTTCAAGCCTCCCCTAATAGTCACAAGATGTCTTAGCTAATGACTCTTTTATCTATAAAAGCAGGAACACATAGCTCGTTACTAAGCATAATTATGCCTTAAGGTATGTATAGATAGTATCTCTGAACTCAGCAGCTGTGGCCCATTCCATTGAGGAACAAAGAGATTAGTACTTCTTATTGGGAGGTTAGCTCCCCATTAACTAAGGCATTCTACTGAGAAAGGGGAGGAAAAGGAACTAACCCTGGTGTTTTTTAACCGCTTGGGTACGGCATTCACGGCCGTGCAACCTTGCCCACAGCCGGGACTCACAGTCCCCATGAGAGTTTGTGCTGTGCATTGAGGACGAATCCATTTTGCTCTTGTGTGATGAGGAAAGCTTTCAAGCACTGAAAGCTTGTTTTACTTTACAGGCAGCTTTACTTGTAATGTAATCAGAGTACGGGTAACATATACACATATTTTCATTACATATTTTTAATGTTCACAATTTTATTTTGATAAATGAAAAATTAGACAAGCCATATCACGCCTAAAGTCGATGCTTGGCTGTGCGCCTTCATATCACGGCTGTCCGCTAAAGTCACTGTGTGTGGTCATTTGTGGTTATCGACTACGGTCGATGCTCGTACCAAAGTGTTTAAGAGTTGGAGCCTGGCATCCCTTCTTCTGGGCTGACATTTTGCAATCTTCCTTTACAGCCGTGGGTGGCTTTCATGTCAAGCTGCTCCACAGCTTTTTAGGCATGAGGCCCGTCAGGCTTTAAGGTGGGTGTCTGCTTTGCTGTATTCTCAGATCGCTGGAATGTCCCTCAACAAGGCAGTTAATTTCTGCCCTTTTCCAGGCAGTATTCCTTCACCTCCTCTCCTCCCACAGCCTCAGAAATGGGGTCCCTAAGCCCCAGTGGTCTTATTCCCATCACCCCACCTAGAAGAGTATCTAATTTTGCATTTGTAATTTTGTATTTTTTTTTTTTTTAAGAAATGAGTTTGAAGGTAGTATCAAACTCCTGGGCTCAAGTGATCTGCCCACCTCAGCCTCCCGAGCTGCTGGCTGCTGGGATTACAGGCATAAGCCATTACACCTGACTATAATTTTGTACTCTTTTACTTCTATAGATTCCCCTCTATTGTAGAAGCTTCAGACTCTCCAAATTCTGGATCTATTTCTGGTCCTACCTACTGGTATCACTACCTACCTACTGGTCCTACCTACTGATATCACAGAGGAAACTCTGAGATGGAAGATGGGAGTCTATTCTTTAAGTGATTTGAGGAGCAGGCTTGAGTTGCTAACTATTTTGGCAACCACTATGATTATCACATATGTCTTTTGTCACTGCTGAAGCGGTAGAAGGAAAATGATGAATTAGCTAAAATTGGATTTAGAAGCATTTACTCCAAAACTCAAAATATCATATAACTTAATAAGATAGAATTTTATTTCCATCTCATATAAAAGATGTTTGGTGTTAGCCCAGGGCAACTCTGGCTGCCATCAGAGACCAAGTGGCCACACTTCTGCTCTGCAATACTCAGTTTGTGGCTTCCTTCCTCAGGTTTCTTCATGAGTCTAAGATAACTTCTGGCATTCCATCTATCATATCCACATTCCAGGCACTATGGATAAAAAAGAAAGAAGAGAAGAGAAGGAAAGGAAGAAGAGAAGGACAAAGGTGTACCCCTCTGCTGAATAAAGTCCCTTTAAGGGGCCATTTCAAATATTTCTTATATCATTTCCCTTTACATGTTTTTGGCCAGAACATGGTCATGTTGACTTGCCTACATGCAAGGGAGGTTGAGAAATGTAGTCTTTTCAGATGGGTAGCTTTGCTGCTAAAATACATCTAAGAGGATGGCAAAGAAAAAGGCAGAGAAAGCTGAAATTTAAGTACCTGCAGACAGAAAAGCCACAAAGCAAGACAAGAGCACCTGCAGAAGGCACCTGCCACTTTGAATGCAGAGGCATGGTTTAAAAGCAAAATTAGTCCACATAAGGAGCAGCTAGATCTCCAGATGCCAGAACTAACGTTGTGAAGCTAGCCACCGAAACCTCTCCTATCCCCAAGGAATAAGGCAGGTATTTCACTGGAAAAAAACTGAAACAAAGCTCTAGACTCAGGGACACTTCAGGAGAATAAGGCAAAAGTTAAAATAGGGAGGTTAAGTTAAATTCTACATATTAGATCATGAAAACCATAGCCCCTTACCCCCACTCAACTCCTACTTAGAAATAGTAGCAGCCAGGCTTACATCCCTCACAGGGGGATAGAGAATAACATTCTCCTAAAAAACAACCAACCAACAATGAAACCACCCAAACAAAAAAAACTGGCCTAAGAGAAAAAAAAATCCTATAGATGCTAATATTTGGGGTCTGACAAAGCAACAGCCAGGTCTATGTTAAACTGTACAGTGAAACCTTCACTTAATACATTCTGGCCAAGCTTCTAATATGTTTTGTGGTGTTTCCCTCCTAGATCAGAATGGAGAGCCAAGAATCACTAGACATTTGAGGAACATCTTTGCAAGATCAACCCTACTGCCAGTGTAAGGTCTGTGCGTATGAATCCCATGAATGATGCCAATAACAGACACTCATTCTAGCTGTGAAGCTGTCAGTTCAAGAAAGCATGTGTTGGCCTGAAAGGCCACAGGTGATAAAGGACTGTGTTCGTGCTCAGTGTTTTGTGCTGGCCTGTGCTCTGTGGTCATGATATTTGTTGTACAACCCAAGGTTGATGGGGTGCACCTGGGTCTAACAAGATAGTCTCTGATACATATCAGGATTGGCTTAAGTGCAGAACTGCTCCAAGCTCTCAGCCTCCAAAATTACCCAGTGCAGCCGCTGGCTACTTCCCTGCTGAAAACTACTGAAAATTACTGGGCTGCTGCCACCACTGGTTAAAATGGCACCACTATTGAAAGACAACTATGACCAAAGATTCCAATCATTTCCTGAATGACATCAGAGAAACAACAGAATAAGGAGAGAGTAGCTCAACCAATCTCATTGATTTAATGTGACTATAATTCAGGAATATATGGAAAGGGGCAGCATGGGAGG